TTTCAAGCCACCATTGTTCAGGGTATACTGATTTATCTTACTTTTTCTCCTTTATAATTTCATTGATTTTTCTAGTTAAATATGTTTCCACGTTTCTTAAGTCGTCTCGTGTTAAATTTAGATTATTCATAAAATATTTTATTTTAGTATCACGTTCTTGATTTATTTTATTTTCAAACTTTTAATTTTCAAGTAAGTTTCATCAAAACAAGACCAATTTTTTGTATATTTACATGGAAAGACACCTTTCCTTGTTAGGAGGCTTAATTTGCTATAACTAATATTTGGAAACTGTGATCTAAAAATTATTTTTTCGCTTAGATAAGATGATAATTTGTCTATTGAAGAGGTCATGAAGCGAAATGAATCGATAAATTTAAATATGATTTTACTATTTTTTATATATGTATCTGATTATAGCAATATAGTTTTCTATACGGTTTGGTATTATTTTAATCTGTCCATTTATACTATAAGCTATATTGCTTATAAGTAAATGTGCATAATATTTTGTAAGATTGTGGAAAACTATTTGAATCATATTTGAATTTTTGTAATTTATATTACAAGATCGATGTGCGGCACCTCTATATTAAGAAAAAATTAAAATAAACACCAGCTATTTAATTATTCGAAAATTTTATAATAATGTATAAAATAAAAAAATTAATCATATTTTTTTGTTTTATTTTTGATAATAATAATAATTAGACCATATGAGCTTCGTATTATTGCAATATACATGTTAGTTTTTTTATCTTTTTTTATTTTTTAGACTTAATAGCTATAATTTTATCATGATCCGTGATAATATTATAAATATTGTATGGTAGTCATTCTCTTATGTTAAATACTATTATGATTATTACATAATATGTTGAGAGAGCTTTGTTAAAATTTAACAAAAATTTTAAAAAGGGAATCTTTTTTTGTTAAATTATGAACTCTAATTGAAAGTTGTTGTTTTCTTTTGAACGAATAACACTTTTACATAATTTCCTTGTTTTCTATCTTTTTATTTAGAGCATTAATTATATCATGTGTGTACCTGGAACCATACTGCCAGGACAAGTACGTGTAGAATCTCTTGAAATCTAAATAAATGCTTCTAATTACTTGACCATCTGAATCTCTGAATTTTGAATCTCTTATTTCTAATTTTTCGATTTCATATTCTTTGTTGAGAATTAAATTTGCTATTGAAAAGTACCCCTTAGTTTCGTTTTGGACGTTGTTAAGCTCGTGCACAAATTTGAAAAGATCTACCTCGTTTTGCTCAAAAGTTCTTCTGTTGCTTGAGGATGCACCATCTTCGTCCAAGAAATCCATGTCAAAATTTAATTTTTTTTATACGTTAGTTCTTCCTCCAGACATTATTATGATTTAAAAAGTTATTTAATAAGCTGAATTTATAATAGACTGTTCAAAGTAATTAATTTTACAATAGATTCTTTAGTGTATTTATACTAATTTTTCGGCCAATTTCTTTTTGGGTGGGAGTTTTTTTCTAAGAAATTTATTTATCGGTATTTTCATCAGGTTTGGTTTTCCTGCCTATGCCCACGCAAAACTATACCCAAAAAAAAAATAAAAATAAAACCAAGAATTTTTTTGTTAATGTTTTTTTTTTATTTTAAAACTTTTTCTAAAAATACACTATAATATAATACAAATATGTACAATAAATTATAAAAATATATTATTATTAAAACGCACAGTAGGGGCTTGTCCCATCTCTCTTGCGATATGCGCAGCTAATCCAGCAGTATGCACATTGAGGCGGATGTGCGATTACACCCCATACACCATGGTCCATAAACTTCAATGAAATCATGGCTTCCTCTATTGAAGTAAATGACGCAACTTCGTAAAAACTTTGAAAGCGCCCACGGATGTCGTCACCTGTTAGGCGGTTGCGGTTAGCAATATGTGTTCTAATTCAATCATTGTTTTAGCTTTTGCAATTAAGTTGGTGTCATCGGCATATATATTGTAATCTGATGTAATGTTATTTTTCGGAAAATTCATTATATATAGCAAATAAAGAAGTGGACCCAGCATTGAACCTTGTGGAACACCTGTTTTTATTACTAATTCGTCGCTTATCACTTCCTTAATTTTTACACATTGTGTTCTATTAGTTAAATAACTTCCTATGAGCTGATTACTGATGCCACGTATCCCCATTATTTCTAAAAAATCGATTAATCTCGAATGGTTAACTACATCAAACTCTTTCGTTAGATCAATAATCACTGCACCAACATAAAAACCATCATCTAAAGCATCATATACTTGATCAAGAGTTGCTGCAATTGCTGACTCTGTTCCACTTTTTTCCAAAAAGCCGTATTGATTTTTATCAAAGCCAATGGTTTGTGTTATGAAACTTCTGATCCTTTCGCCAATAGCCTTCTCAAATACTTTGGATATTGAGTTTAAAATTGAAATCGGTCTGTAGTTGCCACATTCTTCCTTTGATCCAAATTTATGAATTGGAACAATATAGGCTTTTTTTAGAGATTCAGGAAAAACTCCTTCCAAAAAGCATTTGTTTATTATATTTGAAATAGGTTCTTTTATTATATCAACCAATTCCTGAAGATCTTTTACTGTTACTTTATCTAAACCTGGTACTGCATTTTTGTTTAAGTTCATAATTATTTTGTAAATTTCATGTTCTGTAACCGGAGTTAGAAACAAGGTCTTATTATTATGATTATTTTGTGCGTTTATGTTTGTAACTGCAGTTTTCGAGATTTGAGCTACTATAGATTCACCTATATCATTGAAGTATTTATTTAAGCACTTCCATTTTCTCTAACAATGTAAGCAATACTTTCCGTTTTTTCATCACTCTTATTCCTAATTGTATTATTTATTACTTTCCACAGTTTCCTAGAATCACTTCCTGCTTTTTCAACATTCATAATAATGTGTTTGTTTTTTGCTTCTTTAATTAGTTTTGTTACTTTTTTTGTAATTAATATATTTTATTCTCTTTTCAGAGTTGTTCGGGTCTTTTTTATGTGCATCATAAAGAGACCTCCTAATTTTTAATTTTTCACATAAAAATGGTGTCATCCATTAAATTCCGGAATGTTATACGTAAACACTTCATTTTCATAAATCCACACCTCTGTTAGAACTACTATATCAATGTTGTTCAAGTCTGTAATCAATGCTTCTAATTCTACGATTTTAGTTCTAATGCTGCATATATTTAAATATAAAATTTTTATGTCGCCTATTTTAATTATTTTTTTTGGAGACCTTATCATGATGGTGTACTAGTCATATATTTCTGCCAATTTTATCTAACTTTTTGCAGATACTCTCTATATCCATTTTCAATATATCGTCTATATGCTTTAAGATCCTTTGTAACGTTTTCCTTAGAGATTCCTATTTTTTCATGGTATTTGTAATATAGCTTACATAATTCCTCATAATCAGTTGGTAACGCCTCTTGATCAATTAGAACTATCAAGTTAATCTTCGTCATACCATCATAACAAACATCATCATTATTATAAAAATATGATAAAAACAATCTCACATTATTATATGTTCTATGTTCTTTAAATCTTGAGAGAGCATACATTTCATCGCCACTTTCTATTGCTTTTTTGGTTAACTTAACAATTGGCGGAGCTATTGGATCGACAAACGTTTTTTTAGTCTTTTGACATTCCTGATTTAAAGTTTCTCCTTTGACACAGTTTGAATATTTAATTGCATGTGTTAACTTTACTGTTGGCGGTTCTATTGGATCTATTAATATTTTACTATTGGCTGTGGTTAGTGCTAGTGATTTGAAACGTTTTGTTATTGCAAATTTTATTCCTAAAATTGCTCTTATGAGACCATAGTTTTGGTAATATTTTTAATATGTTGTTGCACTTTTTCTTTTTTTCTTTTTTATCTTTATTTGTTTCAATGACTTTTATTATGCTACTATCATTTGAACTGTTCTCATTATTGTCGCCCGTAATACTGCGGTCGTTTAATAATTCTTTGGAAGTAGAACTTATTTTCAATTTATTATCGGTAGACTTCTTTACATGTGAATCGATAGTAGTGTTGGTTTTAACCTGAGTTGTTTGCTGTAGTTGCTAGTAGCCAATTTTCTTTTTTATAGCGCTAAGTTTATTCAAGTAAACAGGGCAACGTTTACTTAAGGTTTCATGGTTTTCATCCAATTTTAAATTCAACCTTTTATTTTCCATTATACAATTGATGCATTTTTTCATTTCGTCTTTTTTGCACTTTTTGGTTCTATGAGGCTCTAAGCATTTAAAACACGCTTCATCATTTTTGCACTCTTTAGCTTTATGATTAAAGCCCTTGCACTTGAGACAGCGGAGTACTCTCACAGCGTCGAAAACCTCGCAGCGCTCCCTCCTTTCTTGATTTTCAGATTTTCTCCCACTCAATGCCGCTATCAAATTTTCTTCTTCCTTCCATATCAATTTATTTATATAATTTTCTTCTTCACTTTCACTGTCACTCTCAAACATCGTTTCGTAACATGTGAGATCCAGGGATTTTTTTTTTTCCAATTGATTGATTTCTTCTTGAATAATATATGAAAAAAAAGATTCAATTTCCGAATTGAACCAAACTTCATTTTCGAATCCCATTTTTCCTTATTTCGAAAACTTAATAATAGTTTGGTAAGAAATAATTAATTAAATTTCATTTTGAAAGACACTATTCTTAAATAACATTTTTAAGTATTCTTTGATTAAGTACATATATACGAAAGCGATAGTAATAATTAAATTATCAGTTTTTGTTTTATATTTTTGAAACATTTTAAATTTGCGGTGTTTAGTTTATGATATATGAAAATGATAAATAATTGAGATATCAATTTTACTTTTTTAATTAAAAAAATATCAAACATAAAGCTCTTCTTTGTTTTATGTTTGTGGTCAATTTCATAGTATAAAATGCCGGTGAAATTCTGTAATTTTATTCAGAATATTATCATCAAGATGCCAGTCCCATCATATGTTATAACAGAACCAATTATTGAGGAACACGTTCCCCAAGAATTACAGAATGTAAGGAGGGCTATAGAGGATATCAAAAGAAGGACATTTTTAAACCGTAAGTGTGTTTTTTATATTTTTTTATATTTTTTTTTTAATTTTCTTTTTTTCCAGCCAATGAACCGTTTACAATCATAATTGAAGGCAATATAGGGTCGGGGAAATCGACCCTCATAAGAACACTATTTAGTGAAAACGAAGCTTGGAGGTATTATGAGCCTCTATTTGAGGTAGGAGGCGCAAATATTTTACAAAGATATTATGAAGACAAGATCGCTTATGATCACCTTTTCCATGAAAGGGTGCTAATATCGCTCGGTCAAATCGCGGTCATGAGGGTTCGAAAACCCTTTAAAATAATAGAGAGAAGTATCTACAGCACCTTCAATATTTTTGCGAATCTGCTTCAAGCAGAGGGGCACTTGACTGCCCCTCAGTATGATAATTTACATTATTTGTACAAATTTTTAGATGCACTAGTGGAGCTAAGAAAGCCACATTTAATTATTTATATCAGATCAAATCCAAGAAAGTGCTTGGAAAGGATACGCGCTCGGCGAAGAGAGGGAGAGGAGCAGATAGATCTAGCATATTTACAAAATTTGAATGACTTATACGAGGCGTGGCTCATGACTCGTGAGCAATATCGTGGAATGAAAATTCTACAAATCCAGAAAACTGAAGGTAAGAAAAAATTATTTTTTTTAATTTCTTAAAAATAAATTAAATTTTTTCCTTTTCTTTATACAGATTTCAATGGGGCACAAGAAGACTTTGGGGAAGAGGAAGCAGAAGAAATAGAAAAAGAGGAAGAAGAAGAACAGGAAGAAGAAGATCAAGAAGAAAACAAGGAGAATAATCCCAACTTACAAAATAATATTTTATAATTTTATTTAGTTTTGTCAATAAAAATAAAATACAACAAATTCTTTCTTTTTATTTTTATTTTTTCCATTCAGCTATTAATTTTTTTACTACTTACAAAGAGCAGTAGTAAAAAAAAACAAAACATAAATTTTTACTACTAAGAGTAGTAGTAAAAAAGAATAAAATCAGAATAAAACATAACATAGATAAAAAATAGTTTTTTATCATAATTATATTATAAAAAAAAATATTGTAATATTTACTTGCTTGCAATATAGAATTTTCTATTTTCCTATTATTATCATATTTTTAACAGATTCATACATTCTGTATGAACCGACTTATTTATCATAATTATGTTATGTAAACTAGAACTTGTGCTTTTTAAAAGAAATAATAATAAAATAAATTTTAATATACCAGTATTATTATGCATTTATGTTATACTTTAAAATTGCCTCTTTATAATTTCTGTTTCCCTAGTTTTGTTTTCCCATTAAAAGTTTGTTTAATTTAAAATTTAAAATTTTTTTCTGAGTGTATAAAAGTACTAAAAGAACTAAAACTGTAATAAAAGTATATAAAAACCGTGTAAATAAAAATTTTTTCTGAGTGTACAAAAAAACAATAATCTTTCAGTAAAGAAAAATTTTATTTAAAATACTTTTCAATACAATTTAAATAATTTTATTTATTGAGCTTCCTAATGGATTATATTCAATTAAACGATCGTGTATCATTAAACAATATGCGGTTGTGTTTGATGCTATTTGTTTGTTAGTTTTTAATTCAATTTTAACATCAACAGGCCCATTTTTTGTTTGTTCATTTTGATGTTCACAATTAACAACAAAAATTGTTGCATCATCTTTGAAATTTTCCCATGTTAAGAGCGCTTCAGTATTTGAAAGATTATAATAACTTTTTTTAAAATTTGTATACATTGTAAAAAGTACTGCAAAACGGTTTCTTTCAAAATTTAAATCTAAATTTTCATTTGGATAATATTCCGAATTTAAATGTACTTTAATATCAGTTATATTACAATGATCAAACTTTGATGAATCTTTTGTTAAACAATTTTTTTTATTTGTTTGTAAAGCGAATATAATATAACGTGGTTTTTCTATTTGTGATGTTGTTTTAACATTCCATATATGATGCTCAGTATTGTGTGGTATATCTGGATAAGTATATAAATCCCAGCTACGAAATGCAATTGGTATAGTTAATCCTTTTGTAATTGATTGATATAACTTTACTTGTTCATCTACAGATAATTGAATATGTGGTATTTTCCATAATACTTTTGTTAAAACAATTTTTAATTTTTCTGTATTATCTTCGGATATTACACAATTTGAGTCATCTGATGATGAACGATAGAGAATTAATTCGTGATGTGCATTTGGTACGATTTTTTGATAATCTTCAGCAAAACCAAATATTTTATTTAAAGGTATACTGAAATTAAAATCTAATTTCTTCATTGTAATTGATTTATTTGGTGACCAACTTGATGAATACAATATATCGCTTTCATTTTTATTTAAAGAAATATAATTTTTAAGTGTTGTTGTTATACCAGGATTCCTACAATGATCAATTTCTTGTCCATTTATGAGATAAACAATATTGTCAAATAAAAATAAAGCTCCATTATTACTAAAACCTCCTTTTGTTGGTGCAAAACCATTTGTTTGTGAAATTTTCCCTTCAAGATGAATTAAGCTTTCTGATGGTAGAATATTTAAATTTTGATGTTGTACATTAATTGTTATAATATCCCCATTATTAAAGTTAGTATTGTTAGGTGAATAACTATGATATTGTTTTCTTGTAATTCTTTCATCAAAGATAGGTTCTTTAAATAAATTTAACATTTTTTTTGTTTTTTTTATTTAACTATTTTTTATTTTCTATTGTTAAAATTTTTCTTGGTGGATATTGTTGTTGTTGTCTTTTATTGAGTGTCTGTTCAAGACTAATCTTTTTATTATTATTTTTTGAGTATTTATACTGTTTTTTTTCAATTGTATTATAATTATTATTATTATTATTATTATTGTTATAAATAATCATCTTTCTTTTAATTAAATTTTTTTTAAATGTAAACGTATAGTTATATTTTCACCTCTAAAATTTATTAAATTTCCGTCTTGATCTATTAATTTAAGTTGTATTGTACTTATTTGTTGAACGTTCACTGGTAAATAAATTACATTTAATGGTTTTTCAATTATTTTATACCCGGGGCTAACATTAATAGAAAATTCATGTAAAATATGAACGAGTTTATTATTTAAGTAAGCTCCATTTACAATATTGCATTCAATACGTATAATATTGACTCTATTAATATCAACAGAATTATCAGATTCATGTAATTTATTTGGTGATAATATTTTATTATTAAAACCTAATAATTGAGCAAAAGTTTTTGGTTTTGTAAAATCAATTGTTTCCGTTGAAAAAATTTCAACTTTTAATGTATTATTATTTGCATTTATATTAAATTCAGCATCATTAGGAATTTTATCTTTTAAATATTCTTGAATATCATCAATTTTATATGACCCAATTGGAAATTCTATTACATGATTTCCAAAATAAAAAAGATTATTATGTTCATCTATATTTGGTATCGAATAATATGTTTGAAAATCAATTAGCCCGCAAACATAATATCCATTGCTTATATCAACAGGTGGAAAATATTCTGAATTTAGAATAGATTCATTACCTATAAATGTAAATGTTAACGACATGATAGATAAAATAATACTAAAATATTTTCTTATATACATTCATTTTTTATTTTTCATTTTCATTACAATAATTTAAAAATTTTAAGCATAAATGCCCACAATTAAAACTATTATATTTTTGAAAATTTGTATAATTATATAATACATTTTTTCCTAAATATTTAATAATTTCTAATGGTGATCTTAAGTTCCCATAGCTATTAAAATATATAATTAACTTATTTTTTTTCCAATAAGCTACCCAATGTGTTCCATCGCCAGATGAGTCATCTAAATTTACGATTCCACATTCATTTTTCCATGGTTTTCCTTTTGGTAGATTATCTCTCATAAAAACTCCACGAAAATTTGGTATAGATTTAGTATAATATATTAAATCAATATTTGTTAATGGTCTATTGGGTAGCTTTTTAATAGTTTTTTGAATGTTGGTATGGTTTTAAATATAGACCATATCCTTTTTTGTATGGCTTTAAATATAAACCTTTACCAAGGGCTATCGCCTCCAATTTTCTGTTATGTCTTTTATTTTCCTCTAATTCTTTTTTAGCATTTGATGCACTATTAATTGCTTTTGCAATACCAGCAGCACCTCCAGATAATGCACCAACAGCTGATAAACCAGCAAAAAGTGGCACCAAAAATGGCAGAACTCCACCAATTTTAGGTATTGGAATAATTCTTGGTATTGTAATCGAATTTTTCTTTTTATTTTTAATTATATTTTTTTCTGCTTTTAAACCAATTTGTATTGCTTCATTTAAATTATTAGGCTTTAATAATTTTAAATTTCTTTTAGTTTCTTGAATAGCATTTTTAAATAAAAATTTTTTTCTTTTTGTTAGTTTCTTTTTTTGCTGCTTTTTGTTTTTTTTAATACCCATACCAAATTTTGTTTTCGCATTCATTGTATTTGTAACTAAATATGAATTTAAACGTTCACCAATATTGGCGTCTTTTGATTTAAATCTTGCCCAAGCCTTTCCTGCTAATATTTTATCAGCAATATTACGATTTTCTGTATCTTTATATTTTGAATAAGCTATATCATGTATTTTACAAGCTTCATCTAATTGATTAATACCAGGATCACCTCTTTTTAAACGTTGTTCAAGTTTAGTACCGGGTCCACAATAATTATAACCAGGTAAATGTAATTCAAATGGTAATTTATTAATAACTGAATTAATTAAACCTTTCCCGTTAAAATATTTTTTTTTATTTAATTTTTTCTTAATTTTATTTTTTTTATTACTCATGATCTGAACACTTTCATTGATTAAAATAAAATAAAAAATTTTTTAGGTATACAATATATATATATATAGTTTTACATGTGATGTGCATTTGTTACGATTTTTTGATAATCTTCAGCAAAACCAAGGTGCGATTTGAAGTTTAACTGTAATGGTTGGAATCATGTTAATAAGGAGGGAGGATTAACCATTCAGTATATAATGCTGCACCCTCATATCGGACCTTGGCTTCCAAAGTTATTTTTACTGAATATCAATAATAACGATAGTTTTGTATATTATCTAATCGAAATCAGAAAATTATAGTAGTATTTAAGATGAAGTTTATTAAACAACATCAAACGCTTAATATAAAAAATTTTGAAGAAAAAAATGTAAAAGATAGAGATAAACAAAAGCATGGTACATTATTACCAAACAATATAAGATGTTTAATTATAGGTCCATCAAATTGTGGTAAAACAAATTTACTACTAAGTATGTTATTTGATATAAATGGCTTAAAATTTAAAAATTTATATATCTATTCAAAATCCCTATATCAACCAAAATATAAATTTTTAAGAAAAGTGATCAAATCATTTAAAAAAATTGGTTATTATGAATTCTCAAATAATTGTGATATAATGAAACCAAATGAAGCAGAAAAATATTCGATATTTATATTTGATGATGTCGCTTGTGATAAACAAAATAATATACGAGAATATTTTTGTATGGGGCGGCATAATGATATTGATAGTTTTTATTTATGTCAATCATATTCACATATACCAAAACGTTTAATACGTGATAATGCTAATTTAATAATTGCTTTTAAACAAGATCATTTAAATTTAAAGCATATATATAAGAATCATGTAAATTCTGATATGTCTTATAAAAAATTTATAAAATTATGTAAATGTTGTTGGAGAGAAAATTATGGATTTTTGGTAATTGATAAAGAAAGAGAACTTTTAAAAGGTCGTTATCGAAAAGGTTTTGATAATTTTG